AATGTAAATGTTACTGTGGACAAGGTAGCTGAAACATTTGCAAATAGGTGTAATAAATTTAAGAATATTGTATTAGTAAAAGTATCATATACATTTGTCATTGATATAACTGTATTAAATAATGTATTACCTAATTATTTGTAGGGAGTAAATTAGTTAGTAGACTATCTATTAATCGATTTGCAAGGTACATTATGAATATTTCATAATGTAGCTTGTAAATCGATTAATGTATTTAAACCAGACGCTCGTCAAATAATGCAGTTCAAGGCGGAAATGTAGTGAGGGATACATCAGGATTAGAATGTGTGTTACAGAACAAGAAACTGATGACAATAGTTGGAATAACTAGTCAATGTCAACGCACTCGATAAAAGCGCGGGATTAAAAAAGGCGCGAATATGTGCAAGTACTACTGTATAACCAACGACAACACCTATGAAAAACTAGACATAAGCTATATTACAACCAGGCCTACGAAAAAGTCAAACTATGTAAATAATGAATCACTGAATATGATTAGACGAAATCACAGAGGTACAAACTATGTTAGATATTTACGTGGTAAAGGAGTGTAGTTTCCTGATAGGTCTAAACAACGTCATCAGTTACCAAATCAATTATTTTTACTAGTTTTAGTCATACAATTGTTCTCATTTAAACTTGCGCTATTATGCTAATTCAACCTAGGGCAGATGTAGTTCCCACAATATATCTATACTTACACGAGGAGAGCGTGGTTTCGGTGATTTTGTAAAGTAAGAAATAATAGATGTAGAAAGAAATGTGTAGATTTTGAACTTTTTTCTTTTTTCATTGATTTACTGTGTTGATTATGCACCACAGTGCTTTGTACTGTAATTATTTTCTGCCATTATGAAAAATTCATTGCCAATATTTCTTTCAAGGTCCCTTGCATTATTTTGCGTGTACTAATATGTACTAGGTGTACAATGCAGTTGTCTGCTTGCAATTTTGAGCGGAGCTATCATAGTACTGTAATCCAATACTTTTGCAAAGTCAATGCTAAATATAGTTCACGTAATTGAGATGTCTCCTACAAGTCCACTAAGTCAATTGTATAATTGTTTCTCATAAATGGGATGACTACTTGTAGTATCCAAAGTCAATGCTTTATCTGTTTCTCTTAAATGAAATCTCTACTTGCAGTATCTAAAGTTAATGATAAATCTATGCTAAAACTATTGCCTTGGGTGTAGTACGCCAGTGTCACGGTGATAACGGCGGGAGTGGTCGTGGTAGGCACGGATGAGTCGTTGTTCTTGCAAGGCTGTTTTTTGCCTGTCTTCTGGCTCAGTCAGCACTTACACCATCGGGAAGAGATTGTACATCCAAACTAACAAAAATAGTTTCCAAGGACCCATATTAGATTTAATACAATTGGCGGCAAACGTTATTGTTGATTAGTATGTTAAATAACAATAAAACTGTTGTAGGAGTTTGTTCCTAACCGTAGGTGCTCTGTATAATATTTAAATCGCTAAAATTATACCCCAACAATCAACGTTTACAATCGTGATACGTAAACAAATGATCCAATAATATGTAAGCCGAAGGATCGTCGTAAATTAATGTCTTTCGTGTAATACAACAATATGATAATAAACAATGTTACTATATCACTAATAACGTGTACGTAGACCGTCGTAATTAGGCTCAAATTAAAATATAATAATGCAATGTCAGTATTAAACAATCTTAATACTTGTGCGTAACAATATTGCTGTTCTACAGAGAAACAAGGGTTTTCGAGTCGCTGTTGAATAATAGGACAACAAGAAATTTAATAATAATACGTTAATGAATACTATTACTATTAAACAGTTTCAATCCCAAATATTTTACGGGCAAGCAAGTCGGTTGTATTATGCAGAAATAAAGCCTATAGTAGAATTATGAACGAGGAAACTCAAATAGTAAACCGCACGAATACCGTTATCAAACAGCTGATTGGGCCCCTCTCTTATCTCTTGCCCATTCATCCAGAGTACAATTGACGAGCTTAAACAGTGTACAGTACATTTCTTTTTACGTACAGGTCTAGAAGGGTAGGTACAGGTCGACTAGCATTTACAATTCTCACCAAATATTTGGTAAACTGAATGATAACTGAAAGATAACTGAATGCTCTGACATGAAGCAGTGTTCTTCTTTATCTATAAAACAAGGTTGACACCTTTCTTCACTGATCACGTAATGCGTGATTTTCTATAAAGTCTTGGAAAAATAAAAGGAAAAATAGATAGACTACAGGTGTACTGTATGTGGTTTACACACAAATATTCATCAAACTGTGTGATAGTTTGTTATAGCAATGAACAGTTTGAGAGTACCTATCGTATTGTTTAAGTCGATGGAAAATATCTGTTGATCCTGTTTTACAAGCAAACCAAAAAGATACAGTAGTCACCACTCTATGCGACATATTCTAGCCAGAATATTGTAATCGTATGATTCTATAAGCATTGGTAGGATTGCAAAGTACTACACAAACATTATTTCAAGGGTAATAACAGTCACAATTTCCGCTGACTTTAAAAGAGTCAACTAAACTATTATACTAATGGACACACAACTAAATGGAACAACTAATGGAAATTCTCACGATGTACATTCGTTCGATATAAGCATTGAGTATACACGTCAGTACATACGTGTATACCCAATGATATAAGCAACGGTTCTTGCAATTTATTGCTTATTGTTTTTTAGAGTTGTTTTCGGACTTACTCACACTCGTATAAGGTTTTCCACGTTTGTCATTGATAATGTAGCCATGTTGCTTTGAAATGGCGACCATACAAAATGTATGCATTTTAAGCCAAGTATGAATGGAGATGAGTGTGGGATGAGTGGAGCGATCTTGTTGTCCTGTTTGTGACTAAGGCCGACATAATCCTTAGACACAGCTGTTAATTAATAGTGCATACAGTCAATTAATAGCAGCAGAGGTCAAGTTTGGTATCAAATTAAAGGTTTTATTCATAAAAATACATTGCTGCAAACCCAAACTCAAACGAGGATGATGATAATAACGTTAATGATGTCGCTAAAACGTATCGTTTGAAATTTAACAGCTGAAAATAAGTGAAATAGAAAAGGTTTTGGTTAAATCCATCAAATTGTAATTGGACACTAGTAAATACTAGTGCACTTGTTGCTACCTCCCCCCTTCGGTTTCATGTATTCCTCTCAATCAGTTCAAACCTAGGAGGATTAAACATTAATGTTAATTAATGTTAAATCCTCCTAGATTCAAACCTGAAACACCCAGATCGAAACTCGCCTGTCGTTATTTTACCATCGCCTGTTTTTTAAATATATTTTTCAAAAAAGAAATATTATATTGATTTACTTTGGTTTTTAAAAATGTTAACGTTTTATTTTGTTAAAGATTTATGGTGATACGTAAATATTGTGGTGTAGTAGAGTATATTATATTGTAGTTAAGTGTTAAATTTTGAAATTTTAGGGTGAATCGAGATGAATCTTTGTTTATAACATGGGTCTCTCCTACCTTAACATACATACCAAGTTTGATAAACATCGGTTGGAAAAGTGCAAAGATAAATATTTGTATGTAAAAAATACAAAATGGCGGATATCTGGTTAACGAAATTATTTTGGAAAAAATGTTATCCTTGATTTTCTGTTTATTTTGACCCAAGGAATTACTAGGTAAAGTATCTCCCCGCTTATTTTAACACCCTGTTTATGATGTATTCTTATAAGTGAAAAATGTTAGCTGGTAATAAAGAAAGATGTTTTATAAATAATATGAATGTACTGGTGATCTGTATATTCACCTTTTTCTTGTCCTTAGATAAATTAAATTAGATAAATTAAAAGTCCACTCAGCAGTCGCATCGTACGATGTAGTTCTTTCCATGCGTTGCGAAATGCTACATTTGCCGTCCTCTTCAACCCAAGTTATCTACTGAACCACTGATTGTAAAAAATTCAAAAAAATATATTTTACGCATTACACTTTTGGCTACAACTTTGCCACAGACAAAACCTCTCTAACCCAAAAACAAAAAAAAATCTCGCATGCTAACTTTTTCATGTTAGAAATCACGATTTAAAACTATTTCACCATACAAATCATTTTTTATTAATTAGATCGGTAAATAGTTTAAAGTTCCAACAAAATAGTCATCGAGTAGGACTAACCAAGAAGCTCTGTGCCAAATTTCAAAATTTTAGCACAACTTTAAGAACACCAAAACACGAAATTATTGAAGACATGCGTCGAGAGGACTATCGTTGTTTTTAACAGATTATACTTTTGACCTTCCGGCACTGTTGACTCAGCGAAACTGAACTTATATTTTATCTTATTTCGTTATATTAAAACTGCTGTTGCATTAAGTCAAATTCCCAATAAGTCAATTGCTTTAAAATAGACTAAACTTTTAGCCCGGACTGTACTATTTGACTTTCTGGGATTTTTGATCTACAGACACTGCAAACATTGTAGTTTTTGACCTAGCGGCACAGGTTTAAATTATTTGACCTTCCGGGACTGTTGACTTTCTGCAACGCGTCCAAACGGCATCAGAACTTGTTGTGCCGTTGTAGTATTGTCGGCAAAATCAAAATTTTACAAAAGCTCAAACGATTTTGATTAAAATTTAGTATGTTATGGTCCTTTTAACACTTGACAAAATGGTACAATCCCCAATGCTGTAAAAATTACGGTTAGGTTATCGCAACTTTTGTGATTTGACCAATAAAATATCATACTTACTGCCACGGCTTGCTCATGACAAGCAATCGGGAAAAAGAATGTTTCAAATTGCTCACACCGTTTATTTTTTGACTGGCTACAACTTATTGTAATGGAATATCTAGTCATATCTGTCTCTTGACGAGAAAGTTTCACAGCCAAATCTATCAATAAAATGTGAAATGGTCAAAAGGCAAGCGACTAAAGCGCAAAGTGGCGGGCAAAAGCAAGCAAATCCAAGTGTATTTACCGTTTTGCTGGTGGGTTGTTGGGTGACGACGCCTGGTTGCCCCTGGTACTGGTCCCTCTACAAACAACATGGGAAGCAACTCAGTTCTACTCAACCTCTAACACACTCACACACATACACACGCACACTAGCTAATGTGAGGGGGGGGAGGGGACATGCCGTGACCACTTGTGCGCGAGATCAGTAGCAGGGACATCACGTTTAAAACCCTTTAAGGGCTGAATATTGCATAACGAATTAAACAATGTTATGTTAAGAAAATCGTTTTTAATAATTGTGACAATGTTATTTAGTTTTTAAATTTATTTTCCAGTGTCAGAAAACAGAATTAAATGAATTTGAATTAAATAAAATTTACTAAAACTATTTGAGACGAAATGGTGAAGAATTATTTAAAATAATAAAAAAAAAACAGTTTCTAAGTTGTTGTTTCTTTTTGAAGGAACAAATCAATGTAAAGCAAAAAAAGCCAATGTAAAAAGATTAGACCTAATAAAAATTGTTAAATGTACGTGATATTTTTTAATGCACTTTTCATATAAAAATATGACATACAAAAGGCAAATAAATTAGAGGCTAATTCATGAAATGAAATTTTTTATACATAAAAAGAGTAAAAGAATATAAACTGCCTTAGAATAGTTATTTATTGGATTGTTAGTGACAAAGCTGTGATAAAATTGCGGTCTCAGCCCTTAAAGGGTTAAAAGGAATGGAAACAAAATCAAGCTTTTAAGTCCTTCAATTTGTATACAAAATTGATTTTACTTGGGTTTTATTTAACAAATTTTTAGAAAGGTATTTTCATTTAATTTTGTTTAAAACTTCAAAAAATAGTAAAACTGTCATCAATAAAAATAAAATTACTCAAATTGCAAACCTAGAAATTTTTAAGAAAGCCAAAATGTATTCATCTTGACTTACTAATTGCCTTTTATCAAATAAAGCAGAATAACCGGGGAATTTTGTCAGAAATCACAAACAAAAATATGCAATTGAAATCTCAAAAATCAATCTCCCATTACAGCAGTTATTTCCAAAATACTTTCACCAATTCCACATTCACACTTCTTAAATTGACTAAAAAACCTAAATGCATACCAGAATGAAATAATAAATTGTAATTTAAATAAATAAATGATAAACATATTTTTAATAATAGCAAATAAATAAACAAACTTAGCATAAAACGTAAACTAAACACATCAATGAGGTGTTCAATAATAAATAAAAGCAAAATATTTCCCCACACCAATTCTCTAAAACCAAGCAAATAGTCACTATTGGAAATAGCGAATAGACAAATGCTACTTGAAAATAGTGAGAGGTTTCCACAAAAATACATTGTCATTTCAGTATTTTTCATAAACTAATCTGTTTAAAAATGTTTACAGTTTTGTGAATTGATAAAAATATACTTTTTCAACAATTTTTGTCTATTTTTATATTAAGATAACCGCTTTTTACTTATTTTTCTATTTGAAAGTCTATCGAACCAAAATAAATCTGAGTGCAAATTATTGTTCTGTTCATATTTTTGTTATATCGTTGGTCATTTTGAGCATCAAAAGAATTGAATCCCAAGATGTAGTTAGTCAAAAGTTGAATAAATCCAAAACTGCTTTGTCAAATTAAATTTCCGATGCATAAGTAAATTTTTTTTATTAATCAGCTGATTAAATTTCCAATGCCGATCTAAATCAGCTGATTGTTGAAAACTATTTCTCTTTCCGAACCAATCACTTTCTTTACAAAGTTTTAATTATTTCAAGACGACAATTCAAGCTGAACACAATGGTGTCTTATTCAATTCCACTAAAAGTGTCAGTAACCATCGATCAACTATTCCTTCTGAGCATACTTTCTCTCATCAAATTTCACAAAATCCACACGAAAACTTGTTCTGCAAACCCTGAAAATCACCCACACAAAACTCTTGATCCATCACTCCAGAGGGGGGAGGGGGGGTATGTAGTCAAAGGTGAAAAAATGTAAATCTAGCATCATTCCAAAGGCAAAGCAAAATCGCCACAAATTGTATGGTAACACATCAAACAAAAATATCGCATTCCAAAATTAAATAGCGTCCATGCATAAAACGAGAAACATGAACAAAATTTAAAATGAAATAAAAATAAATTAACCTACTTAAGAATAAATTATTTTAACCTTTTGCTGGAGTTAATTCAACAACATTCATATTTATTTAACAATTTAGCTTTGAACATAACAGAATGTTGTAAAGCTTTACTCACGTTTAGTTGAAATCCGGTTCCCACACATAAATGTCAAATATACTAGTATTCGCTCCTAGCGATTAAAATGTTTATTACATGACTTTTGCTGACAGGTGTTCGGTGATTCACCTAAAAGCTATGTTCACCTTTAATTACATACCGGGTAAAAGTTGTGTTACAGAAAAGTTATTTGTTGTGCCCAATGATAAGAAAACCAAAATATAAAACAATGTACACCAACACCAGATGTTTTAGCTGCTAATCAAATATATCCTAAAAGTAATAAAAAGTTAGAAAAAAAAATTGAGGAACACTTTCAGATAAAGTAATGCCTACAACACAACCAAGCTTAAACTATCCTAACCTAATCCTTAAATTTTCAAGGGGTAGCCTCAGGATTACTGAGATATAGTATAAGTGATTTAAAATACCAGTCCATAGTGGAAGGAAAAAACATAGGTGTGCTATTCCCCTCCCGTCATATTCTGACGTCACTCGGATTGCAAACAAAAGATCACCTGATTTGTAATTGTCAAATTAGTATGTATTTGTTTTGATTTGATTGTTATTATTTTTTTTATAAAAACACACATTATAAAAACAGTATCAACCAAATCAAAACAAATACATATACTAATTTGACAGTTGCAATCAGGTGATCTTTTGATTGCAATCCGAGTGATGTCAGAATATGACGGGAATAGCACACCTATGTTTTTTCCTTCCACCATGGTACCAGTCTTACTGGCAATCCAATTGGTTACTGTGGCAACTAGTTTCAGCTCATCATCACCATACAAGGACGAGATCACTTCTTCTGAAGGTTGGAAAATTTCACAAACCCTTCAAAACAAACACAACACTCATGACTCGGGTGTATTACGGCGTGACTGTCGGGAGTTTACGTCTACAAGCGATTCCGCCCTTGTAACACCTACTGATGGCTCCACAGTGAGCCGAAACTAGTTGCCACAGCAACCGATTGGATTACCAGTAATACGGGTATTTTAAACCACTTAAAGTAATCAATACAATTTGTTTCTTACTATACCATAAACCCTTTAAAGTTTTGTTCACCCACATAAACAAACAATCTTAGGAACAGATTTTCTTGAGCTTTTTAATTTAACCTGTTTTTGGCAAGACCAGATAGTTAGTTTGGGTTGGATTAAATTAGATAGAGTGATTTTCAGTGATGCAGTTTAATAAAAGATGACAAACTGATTATAAAAGGCTTGTACAAGAGTAAAGTAAGAAACTGATAGGCCTTCACTTTAGTTGTAATTAAAACGAGTAAATAATGAAAATTGTTAAATGTAGCAACTGAAATCACAGTCCCTGTGATACAGTTCTGCTCTGACTGAAAGTGTCCACAAAAATTCAACTCTTTTAGTACCAAAAAATAAGACGATTGTGTTCAGCTTTTAAGTGAGCACAATTTAAGTACACACAACATAGTTTGTTGAGAAATTGTGGTTTTCCATTATTTAAAGGGTTTCAGCCTATTCACAAAAATCACCACAATTTTTAGAATCAGGGGTTTAAAACTAACCTCATCAAAGAAGTCCCATACCTAATATTTTTGTAGGTTATGTATTACTTACAGTTGTACTGTAATTTTAAACAAGGGTTTTGAACTTAAATACAGACTTTTTTACCGTTTACAATTTTAGTATCCTATATAATATTTTCATTTATAGCAAAACAGACTTTAAACAAGTTTTAAACTTTAAAAATAAAACATTGAACAAGAAGATAACACTTAATTTACGGAATTGAATATCCAAACTATAAAAAATTAAATAGGTAATGCATTTTACTAATTCGGAAAGCAAGACCTAAGATCTTCATTAATTTTTTGTCCATAAATAGATGTTATCTGATTTACTATCCATATCTTGACAACAACTCGGTTAGACAGATAACAATTGCGTAAAAGTGGGGGGGAAACAGCTTAGTTAGTTCTCGTAGGTCTGCCTGGGAACCATTAACACCCTGGTGTTCGTACCCAGTTATGAATATGGTAAGCAACAAGGTAAGGCCAATGATCAAACCTATCAGTCAACAAAACTAAAGACAGTAGTAAACAAAAAAGTTTACTCGTAGTTAGTTCCCATAACATTCCCATGCTGCAGCATATTTTCAGGTATATTAGGTTTTACAAGTTTTTGTTTAGTTATACCTACCACTGACTTTTTGCATTGACTATTGGATACCGAAGTAGCCATCTCATTTACGGACAAGCTGTTGTCAATTTTTTTATTAAAAATGAGCATAGTTGTGTGAGCCTGAGAATGCGCTCTAGTTCTTATATTTTGTTTTCTACTTTCTATCGATAGCTAAAGTAGGTCTATATAAATTTATATAGTTTTTAAGTAAAAGTTAGGTTATGTTAGTGTATATGGCTGATATATTAGAGGGATAACAGAAAAGAAGTGTAGACATCTACAACAGTGAATGTGATGCTAATTCAAATGCTTAACCAACTTTACAAAATTTAAACCGTTACCTTAATGACGTTTTATAAACATAAAAATAAAAGTTTTCCAAACTGAAAAACATAACTGAGTTATAAATGTTCTTTTGATTTGTAGAGAATAAAACTTAGTGTAGTGTTAGTCGCTGTCTTTCATTATGGTTAAAAGCCTGACCAAACCAATAAAATGCCCCAGCATAAACGATTTGTGATCAATAAAATTGATCTAAAAGTAAAATCGTATTTAAAACATAATATTTACTTTAATATTACAATTTTAACAGAACAACTAATATTTCTAGTTTCGGAACAAAGCACAAATCGATTATTTCATTAGAATAAAATTTTATTTTTTATTATTTTGGCATTTTAAATACTTAATCTATTTTTAAAAATATTTTTGGTTTTTAACTGTCCAGTGTTTCCTTTATATTTGTTATGTTTGATTTATTTCAATAAATTAAGTATTTTGTTTAATAAACAGAATATAAGTTGAGAAAGAAGAGAAATGTACCTTACCTCACATAGAAGAGAAACCAAGAAGAGTGTTTGTTAAGAGTAACTAGGACAACTTAATGACAAAATCTAATAATAGGAACTATAATGTACTACAATTGCAGTATTCAAACCATTGGCAGATATTTCAATTTTAACATTTTCATCAAAACATATTTTTTGCGGTAAGTATTTTAATTAGCAAAGAATTAAAACAATTTCCCCACAACAAAATACAAAAAGTGAAAAATTTATTATTTAAAAAATTCTTACCAATAGTTTGTGACTGCAGTTGTGTTACTTATTTTTAAAAATAAGTGTCTTAAGAACAGTGTGTAGCTGACTTGTGTTGGTATAAGAGAAAACTACTCACGATCACAGGTGAACTTACTTAACCAGCCTTCTAAGCTTTGCCTGATTAAAGTCAGAGTTTTTTCACCAAACGTGCATTTGAGGAGACACCATTTACATGGACCAACTGTGTGCGTTCAAATTCAAAGGTTCCTAAACCAAACCACATGGTGAACTGCTGTCAACCTGGTATTTTCTCTCGACTTCTGGTTAAAGTTTATAAGTTGTTCGAAATAACCTGATGTATTACAGCACACACTACTGGTTGTGGCGGCAAGCCTGAGAGAAGCCACATACTGATCTACAAGACCACACATCGTGTAGTGTGTACTGCAATATTTTCTCAACTTCTCAAATTGCATGGTTAACATTAAAGAAGGTTTTCCAAAAATAACCAGAGGCAATACAGTAGTTGACAGCACACACTACTCGTGGTGATGATAAGCTTGCCACATACTGATCTACAGACAACACATCACGTGTACTCACATGCAAGGTCTGGTAGTCGCCACTCTCCTCTGGTGGTCTAGGCTTGCACTTGCCGCAGCAGAAGTTGCAGCAACAGCAGCAACAACAGCAAAAGTAGCAGCCGGTTATTACTCCGCAGAAAACGATCAGAGCCTGCAAAACAAATTGAAGTTAACACAATTTCAAAACATTTTTGTTCTATACAATTAGAGTTTACAAACCAATAGCTTGTGTATTTGTTGTAGATCTTCCAATTAAAAACTTTTGGATAATTAGTTAAGTAGGTTAGCGTTGATATGGTTTTGGGACACTAACTGTTTTTTTCCATGAAATAGTACATCCACCGAACATTAATATAAACTCCAACCACTATGTAACAAATAATTTTTAGTTGGATATGGCACTGGGTAACAAACCGACCTCTTCGCTGTATTTGGGCCAGTTAACAACCACTGCCCTTATGAATGAAGTTTTCTTCAAAGAGGTTTGTGGTGTCTTTTAACCTTGCTATTCTCCTGTTGTGGGCCCCTGCCTGTTCCAGAAACGTAACAAGCAAAGCAAGGAAGTAGGTTTTAGAAGTATTATTTAACTTGAACTGTATGTATAGATTTTAATTGGTTGTATCAAAACACGATTTAAGACGTCACTGTCATGGTTGTGCAGTCTGCTTCGCTAACTGAGCCACCGACCCCCTAAAGATTCAACGCCCATATGCATTATTAACCACCAGAATCCCACAATATTTTGTCTTGATAGGTACCTAATAAATACTTGACCCTTCAAGATGATTTGACAAGACCTTCTTATCGTTACACAACCGGGCAAGCATCAGACGAAAAATCAGCCAACTCTTTCGATCTAGGACTGTATACATCACATTGTTCATTCTCAATCTTTTATTTGATCACAATCGTATTAAGTGTGTTAGAGAAAGATATATGGTTTTCAAACATGGATCCTAAGAAAGGTTGGTACTACGGGAAGATTATGAACCCATTAAAGAAAAATTTAGTTGTGAATGTAGCCCTAAAACTCCAGTTAACCCTTTCCCCCCCCTAGGTAGTTTTAGGCAGTTGACCCTTTCCCTAGGTAGTTTTAGTTCTATTTTGATGAGGAAATCATGAATTGAATCATTACTAGCACCACCAGCGGAACAGCAAAGGGCAAAACAAGAGATTGTTTGACACCATTTGAAAAAAAATTACTGTAGCAGCGCCTACCAGCTGAATAATCCTGCCTTGAGCAGTTAAAGTAATGGTGAATAATGTTTGAGTTTAAAATAGTTTGGAAGAACAAGACTTTAATTACTTATCTTAGTAAATGGTTAACATCCTGACAATTGCTGGCAGCTGTCAAGTTGCCAAATTTATAGGCCTTGACTGAATGAAGTTGTATTATGATATTACAAACTATTATGGGGAGGTAATTGAGCATATTTTAACCGATATATATACAGTCTAACCTTGATATAACGAACCTCGATATAACGAATTCCTTGATATAACGAATTTTTTTTAATCCCCTAGAACTCTCCATAAGACACAATGTATATTTTACCTCTACATAACGAACAAACCATAACAACGACCTTGATTTAACGAATTTTTCGTGATTTCGGCTAAAATAAGACACCTCAATATAACGAATTTGTCATTGTCAGAACCTCTACATTGCGAATTTAACCTCTGCATAACGAATTGTCTACGTCTTTCCCTCGATATAACAAATCCCCCACCCAATTATTGTTTTGGGAAAATCTGTTTCTTTATCAAATTAAATGGAAAGGTCACATCATTGCTTGCGCTAACATTCGTCTGCTCCGTTTTACATCTTTGTCTGCTGTCGCTGCGCGCGCTATGTTGCAACTGAGAACTGATTTCATTCACTGAGGACTGATGACGATGTAATATTTAGTAAGCTGTGATTGGGCGATATGGGATAACTATGGTGAATTGTACAATTTTTTGGATAAAGAGAAACCTAAGAAAGAATATAAAAACAAAACCAAAGAGAAAGAATAGCAACATCTTTATTTTAACATTCCTTTTACGAGTGTTTTTATTATCCTTAAGTTGGCTATGATTATACACTTTTATAATGACTTATCTAATAATTTATTGTTTTCAATACGATTTGTTTCAACTAGCAACACCAATGCTATAGTTAATGATTATTATTGACATTCCTCTGTTGTGATAAATCAGTACTGTACTGTAAGTAGCCTACCGGCCTATTGCGAGCAGTAGCTTACAAAACTTTCTACTGTTTTGTTTTGTTCTTTACATGATTTATGACTACGCAATACCGTGTTTGGCTAGGTTTTAGGAGGGTTAGAACAAGCTGTGATTTTAAACTTACAGCTTTTAACCTGTACCAAGGTCAATGCCACTGTCATGATTGCGCAATATTCAAGATCCCTCCCCTTTATTATGCCGGATAATTTAGGTTCTACTGTACAATGTAAACATTGTACTGTAAAGTATTGTAGTCTATGCTACTTTAATAGTATTTTAATGAGGTCAAATCCCGACCTATATTGACCGACGCTGGTTCTGAACCTCGACTTAGCGAAATTCCTGCAAACCTAACCTCTATATAACGAACCTCGTTTTAACGAAATCCTTGATATAACGAATATTCAGTTCGGTCCCTTCAGATTCGTTATACTGAGGTTGGACTGTAAATGGAAGATGAGTAGGCCTATAGAATTGAGTGAGATACCTTGTGTAGCATTTTATTAAGACCAAACATTTCTTTAGCTAGGACTGTTTACTAAAAGCCCAATGATAAAAGACGGCTGGGTCCAGTTGCAAACCTTAATAAGCTACTGATTTTTTCTCAGGATCAAACCGGCAATTTTTTATTATCAAGCAAACACCACAACTAGGGATGGATGGGTCTCGAAATTTCGGTAAATATGAAATCTCGTTCTACGAGACGAGATTCTATTTTGGGTCAAGATTTTTTCAAGACAAGACTTAATTTAAAATATAAAAAAATGTTTATTTAAAAATTTAAAAAAACTGCGAAGGCATTTTTATTTAATTATTAATTCTTTACATGGAAATATTGCTTCAATTGTTTTATCTTTTTTTTTACATAGCAAATGATGAAAAGTTGTGTTATTGTAAGCAGTGTGAGACATGTTTTACTACTGTAAACATAGCCAAAGTAAGTCACTCCAAAACCAATCTAAAAATAACACAAGACTTAAATATTGTTACTTGATGTACTTAACCAGTTAATACTATTGTTTTAGACTTATAAATTTGATATTTTTATAGTTGAACTATATACTAACTAATATCTCCATGTTTCCTATGCCGAAGAGTTATTTTTAATAAGTTAGGCCTTATTAATATTTTTTTTTATATACTGATGTTTTTATTAATGTTTTTTAATAAAATATTTTACATATATTTTTCTATTATTATTATTTTTGTATTTACCCAGTCTGTCATAAATCAGTAGGTATTAAAAAATGTTTAAATCAGGTTAAAATGTGGAACGTGCATTTCTTGTTATGTATGAGAAGGAAAATCCCGTCTCAAAATGTTATGAGAAATAAAAATCCTGTCTCGTCTCGAACTAAAAATCCAATCTCGTTCATCCCTAACCACAACCACCCAAATAACCAGCTATATTGAACATGTATGAATATGCCAATAAATAAGTTTACTTTTAGAGCTGAAAACAGTTTTAATGCCACAAAACATTTTCCTTTACTTTAAATTTAAATGAAATTATCTCATAGGCAATTAAATTGCTTTAAGGAAAAAGTATCCTACTTCATACAAAGCACCTGCTTCATACTAAGTCATGAGAGTAGTACCGAAAGTATAACAAAAGCAATGTATACTCATTTGCAAAAATCTTTTATTGAATATGCTAGAGACATTTTTAACATTTAATAAATTATAAATACTCAGTTTTTAAAAAATTAGAGAGGTTGCAGTATTTACAGTTTTCAACTTTTATTTATTGAAAAGTTAATGGTAAACTAGTATATTTTTGGACAGTAGAAAGTTTTGTTTGAGAAGATTCAAAAGAATTTCCATCCTGTATAGATCTGTCAACTACAAACTGAGGTACGGCTAATGTTAGTAAGCTGTGTTCATGAGTTTCTTTGAAGAGGGACTTCAATCGCCATAACCACTTGACACAGTAAAACGGCAATCCAAAAATATTCTTAAAACCAGTCACAAGCTAGAAACAAAATAATGATAAGTTTATGTTTTCTACGTATTCAAAAGAAACAAAGTGATAGCTGTTAGTTTCGATTTCACTATGTCTCAGTACATTTTATGTAGTGTAAATAATACATTGATTTTATTACTTTAAGTTCTATGTTAAACCATTTTTTGACCAAGCAACCTTTACCTTCCTTCTACGGCTTTAGGTGTATGTTTTTATCTTTTTTAATTATTGAAAACAATATTGTTATAGTACCTGTAATTTATAATAGGTCTAATTAAATAATTATAGTAATATAATAATTAAACCTCTTGAGAATAATATTAAATTTCTAAAAAAATATGTTTAATGATTAATGATGTGCAGTAAATGTTTATTAATTGGACATCAAATTGCTCCAGATTTCCAATTGTCCAGACTCATTTTATGAAACGATAACTCACAATGATAACGTTTCATCCAATTACAGAGATAACAGAAATTTCAGTGATTCACTCATTCTACAAACACTTTCTTACACAACATTTGTGTCAATGACAAGACATTCCAAAATAACTATACATTGAATTTGCTATGAAACCTGATCAAAATAAATAACGAAGAATTGTTTTTCTTTTCCTCAATACAATTGGACAGTGCAACACTGTCTTAAAGCAAAAAGGGCTTTGTATGTTGTCAAAATAAAATAAATAATATCATATAACAAGCATTTTACCCTAGTTTTTAACACCTATTCTTCCAACTATTTGGGTCTTCATTATTTTAAACACGCAAGTCATAAAGTGCTTCATCTGGATTACTTATTTGGGTATAAGAGTGGAAATAGTGTTCATCTTCGACCCAAAAGATGCCAAAATGATGTTAGAAGGAGCCCAGTTGCCATTTGTCATTGGACTAATAATTTAATTAGTAATTTGTTAATTAACTAAGGATCCAAACAAAAAGTTGACGTTGGACAGCATTGACCAGGAGTTGTACAGTTCCCTAAAAAAAGGTAAGGCCGTACATAAATGTAGGTACTATCTGAGTAATGATTTTAATAATTGAATGTTAGTGTCTCAGTCCATAGCACGATTTTAAGTTTACAAATTCATGTTGTGCGTTCGCATCTTTATATCACCAAAAGAAGAGTACATTTTTAAGTATTTCGTTCTTGTACTGTATTCGCTCACCATCTCCTTTGCTTTATACGTTAATGTTATGTTCTACACACAGGTCTTTGAGGTCCGTATGAACAAACAAATGTTAATTTTAAAAGAGAAGATAACCTCTTAAAAAACACAAAGTAAAATACATGTAACAACTTATTCTTGCTCCTTAAAATTGCAACATTATTAAGTGAATTCTAGTAACAACATTTCACTTAAAATTAAATGACGATACACTAATTACTGCGTTAATAATTTATGTAAAGTTTTATATACAAAAACAATTTTATTTCTTAATTGTTTCTCTCTTTGACATTAGTTTTGATTTGACACTTCCCTTCATTTCAATAAACCCCTTTTAAAAATTTAAAATTTTTCCTCTGTTGAACAATGCTACAGCACAACGCAAAGATTGAGGTGAGGAGGACAAATTTAGCGCTTTTCTTGTGTCATGTGTTTACGTCTGACAAACACAGTTCAATAATTGGCCAGACTTCTGCAACACAGCTGTTTATATGCTCTGTGTACAACGACCACTGCCACTTGTATTGCAATCTGTATTGTGAGAGTAATGCAAAATTTCCGTATACTTTTATGAGCCTTCATAAACATTACGCATTTCTTTAAAAGGAGTACATCTGTTTTACTTGAGATATTTAGAATCTAGGGGTTAATAGATACACATTAAAAGATCACATTCAACCTAACAATTTTTTTTATTGTCTAGCAAGATGAATCTGAATCTGATTTAGTTATGTTTGTACTCCAACAGCTGAAAAGTGTTTTTTGTTGGTTTGTTATATCCAAATATTTATCTTGTAACTTTCCACTCGTGTATTTATTGATTGTAAAAATTGTGTTTACCGTATGAATAAATAAATAAACCTACTTTCTGAAGAGGTTCATTATAATGAAATATTAGTTTTGTGCTGGATGTTTCTTGGGTAAACTACAAAACTCTGTTCCTTAAAAAAAGACTCCTAGTGTGCTACTTTGTTTTATTTTAAAATAAACTTAGATAAATAAACGTTTTGTATTTCTTATGTTATTTGTACCAATAAAAATCAAACAAGATATGGTTGGGCCATATCAAAGGGTATTTATGTCTTGTATAAATTATGCTTTTAACGGTTTTTTATAGTAAAAAATTTCTTAACAAACCCCCGACATTATTATGCTGTTAATGTTTTTTTGCCAGAAGAAAAACAAAAAAATATATTTACATTTTAATTGATTTTGAAAAAAATATTTGTAAATTTGCCAAGTACTTGAGAAACAACAGTTTTTACAAATATTTTGATCAGTAATAATGAGAAAAAGGATGATTTATCTTTATGTTACATAACCCTATGGGCCTAGTTTGAATTTTACCGATTAATTACTAACATAGGTACTTATAATATAAAGGACCTTGAAATATGTCCACAATATATTTTAGATAATCCACAGTAAATTCTTATTGAGGGTAAACACAGAAATTATCACGTTCCATCAGACAGCCTAATGTTAATGAGTAAGACCTATACCTAAAAAAATATTCTTAATGTACCCAAGCGCACTTATTTTATTTTAAATACAAGTACCAAGCAGACAACAAATCCAACTATCAGAACAACAAAATATGTTCCATGATATTCCATAAACACTTTCAAACCGTAAAACTCCAGAACTACACGGAGATAAAAAAAAGAAATAAACGGATAGAGTACATCAAAGATAAACAAAGACTAACAATCAAATGTAACTTGAGACTTGATGTGTAGCAAGGATCGCCAAAAAACTGGTTCACGGGTTGCCTTAAAACTGGTTAGCTCTGTCCTAACAGTCAATTGACATTGAAATCTTTTCTGTTACGGTACTTCGAATATTCATTATTTATATTCATGATTCATTATAATTAACATATAACAAAACCATAATTATAACAATTGTACTGATAAGTGTCTTATCATTTGTACCGGTAGATTACTTTAGAGGAACAAAAAATAACCTTGAAAGTTCATATCTTTAAAATAACATATTTTCCTTTGTCAACCATTTTATTGATCAAACACAAATATGGAGAGAAATTTGTCAAATGTAAATGGTTTATTAGGCCTTCTTTTGTTTAGTAAAAAAACATATTTTTAAAATGGAATTTATTTTAAGTACGAAAAATACATAAAAACATTAGTTCCTAGGCAAATGAAAATTATATAATTTGTTTAAGAATGTTATTTAAGTATAGTATGATTACCTGAAGACAAAATAAGCATTCTTGTAATTGCCAGGAATATATTTTTTATTGCTGCTTAGGTCAAAAAACAAAAGGAAAATAAACTAACATATTGATTTCAAGCTGTGTAAGCAATCATTTAAAATCTTTAAAACATAAAAAAAATCATTAAACAAAGCATAATTATGTACAAAGGCTACAAAAAGGATGATACCCTGAACACGACGGACTCAGAAAATAACCCACAAGGACTAAATTAGTAGATTAATTGTAACTTTTTAACTGACTGATAAATGTTCTCCATAATACTTCAATAGAGGATTTGTCTATTGTCTTTTGTACTATACAGGGTGTCCCGGAACTCTCTACCAATATTTTAGGGCATTGCTCCTGGGTAAAAAACACAACTAAATATCATATTTAAACTGTCCGGAAGTCCTTAGTTACTCACACAGCCGCCATTTTGTTTTTTTTTCAGTTATTTTTTTTTCTAAAGAATGGTTAATTATACGAAATGGAAACTTTGCACAAACATTTATGGCAACTAGACAAAGCTACCAAAAAATTATCACGATTTTTCAAATTCATAAAACAAAATGGCGGCCATTTAAAATGTTTGTAAAATCAATGGTTTTTGAGTTTTTAAGAAAGAAAATTTTAAATGGCCACCATTTTGTTTTTAAAATTTGAAAAATCTTCATATTTTTTTGTAGCTTTGTCTAGTTGTCATAAATGCTTGTGCAAAGTTTCCATTTCGTATGTTTATCCATTAAAAAAAAAATAATAACTGAAAAAACAAAATGGCGGCTGTGTGAGTAACTAAGGACTTCCGGACAATTTAAATATGTTATTTAGGTACGTTTCTAACCCAGGATCAATGCCCTAAAATATTGGTAGAGAGTTCCGGGACACCCTGTATATAAAACATTTTCAAGTCCTAGTCTAGGAGAAAGGCTTAAAGAGGTTCAAGCATGAACCACCAAATCAGAAAATAGACAATTGCAAATGCTGATAGATCCCATAGGCTATAAATGATTAGAAAGAAATTCTAGACCAAAAACCTGATTAGCACAGGCTTACTAGGTTGTTGACTAGCCACAAGTGACTAAGCATCTTAGAACCATTAGGCTCAGCCAAACAAACCAATGAAGATTCTGTGTAGGGATATAATTTGCCAAAAACTTGAGCTTGGGTTACCAGCTCTAGCTCAAAAAGGATGAAATTCAAAGGAAAGGTGACCATGAGACCAAATAAAACAATGGACAGGATTTCAACAGCTGTTATAGTCTGTAAGATTGTCTGTTCAAGGCCCAGGCCAGTCCCAAGTAGACAGAGGGTCACTAAACAGGTTCTGTAATACAGACTATGGAATTTCATGAGAGCCTAAGGCTGACGGACAGTGTCAAGTGGTGGTACCAAAAGATTAGTTTTAGAGAACGATAGCCATACAAATCCCTCAACAAAAAAGGCGTTGACATTCTCTGCAGCAAACTCTTTTGTCATGTAAAGGCCAAACTATACGTAGTTTTCGTAGAAATCATATCTTACCTTGCACCAGCCGGACGTGACAAGGAAGTAAGCGTTGACGTTCTCCTCCCCGAACTGTTCTGCGATGTAGAGGCCGAGTGATCCATAGTTATCGTAGATGTTCCTCTTAGTGAGGTCGCTGAGAATAGAATGTGCTCTGTTCACATCTTTGAACTGAAAACACACCAGATAGGCCTAGTTAGAACACCTTTTTTTGTTCAAGAGGTTAGTTAAGATGATTGCAAAATTGTAATTTTATACCTAGGCCTATTGTAGAACTTATTTAGGTAAGCTTAACAGTAAAAATCAAATTGTAAGTTTTTGAATGTTGTTTTCAAAAAGCCACTAGGTTTAACCAAATAACATTATAATAGGCATAACTGTGATTTTTAAGTAACCAAATGTAATAATTGGGTCTTGTTTGTTTACGTTCAAGATATATAATTGTCTATTTTCAGCTTTATTGACATAACTGTTAAAGGCATTTCATCATAGGCCTGCCTTATTTTTGGACTCATGATGGATATATATAAAATTTATTTGGTGAAACTTAAAGATATTTCACACACCTTAAGTGCTCCGCTATAAGTCTAGTTGCTTTATTAATCTCAGTAAAAACTTTTTTTCATTTTACTAGACAATCTCTGTAAAATATAAAGATAAAGATACATAATTTATTGCAATTTGTGTCAAAACCTGTTGTGTTACTACTTTGAGAACAATATAGCCCAAAATACGTCTTTGAAATAAATTTTCAATTTAAATTCACCATGTTCAACTGAGTCCTATTTTTATTACTAAATAATCAACTGAATTTGGTGAAATCGTCAATTTTGGTATTAATTTAAGGCAATATTTTCTTTTATAATATTAGTGGATGAAAATGGATTCAGTTGTGTTGTGGACACATTTAGAGTTGCTGATAAATAAAGGAGTTATTGATAGAATTAGTCCATTATTTAAGGACAATATCTAGAAGCGGTTTTGTTCTAATTTGGTGTACACGTAAAACAAATCATGGTGCTAAACAAAATCGTGGAAATGGTTGGTAGAAATCTACAACTCATCGCTGACTACTACATCATGAATGTAGATCACTGATGACTCATTGCAATAGCCATTCAAGTAATTATCCGGTGTTGATTGAGTTTATCATCCGCACATTAGTGCCTATGCTTGTGCTTGGATACACAATCGAACCTATGAACTGTCTTCACAATTGATACTTATTATTTTTCCTTAAATACTAATACAACTAACTTAATAGCCTACATGAAAAGTTTAATAGTGAAATAAATGAATAACAATCATAACATAAGTGTGTATAAATATTTGTGAATGAATTTGATTAAAAACATTAATACCCCCGCCGCAGCAAACCTGCAGACTAAGCGAATTTCAACTTGTCTGATTACATTATTACTAAAATATTTCCATGAATAAGACATATTTATTTATTCCCAATTTAAATAACATTAGATTTAACGAGTGCTTAGGTTTGCTGCTATGGGGAAGGTTAAGTGTTTTTTGACCATACATCAATAGTATAGGATGAAATAAAAAATAAATTTGCCCAATTTTATCAACATATATCCCTAAACAAGTAAACTACAACAGTTTTCATTTTCTCCATAAGAATAACATGGTCATTTAAAATTACACTATTTTTGAATTTTCTCCGTGACCGTTAGGCACACAACAGCGCTTCAATATACTAAATTATCTCTTTTTTAAGCTCTACAAAATGGTTTTAAAAAAAATTGCAAATTTTTGTGTTTTTAGGGTAAAAAATGGAAAAACCCCATTTTTACCCCATAAAACCCCCCATAAACCCCCGTTCCCATGGTCCGATTATGCTGGTTCGCGAACTCGTTTGAATAAACATAGGTTTACACGTTTGTACCAAATTTCATCAAAATCGGATCATTTTTGTTCGAGTTATCGCGCTAACGGACACATATATATATATAAATCAAAAACATATTTAACAAAGTACCCTCTTAGTAGGCCTAATTATTTTATTTTATTTTATTTTTCATGAAATAATTATTTTATTTTATTAGTCATGAAAAATAAAATAATTACTAAAAGGGTACTTTGTTAAATGTTTTTGATTTTTATTATATTAGTAGCCCTAAACATGCAAGAAAATAATATATATATATATATATGAATTTGAACGGATGGTGTTTTTGGCCTCTAGGGACCTCAAAATGAACAATTATATAGGTCCCGGGTCCAGGTCTTACCATGAGTACTACGGTAATAGCTTATTCCCTATATGGGAAATTCGCTAAAAACAGAATATTTTATGATAAAACAGATTTACACACAAAGTAATTGTTGAAATAAGACAAACATTACGCTTATCCTGAAAACACCAATCCTTTATCATAGGAAAACAATTAAAGTCATTATGACTCTAGGAATGGTGAAACACCAATCATTTGGATTTTATTAAAATATTTGCTGATGAACTGCAAAAAACACTAGGCATACGTATTATTAAAAATTGTGTTTGAAAACATCTTTTTACACTTAGGCCTAGCAATAGGCCTACATATTTTTCGAGTACAAATAGGAAAATCTTATATAGGGATGAAGATTTTTTAAATAAGTGGGTCTGTCAAATTTTTATTTTTAGGCAGCAACGTAAACGTGCATATTTTAAGTTCAATATAAATTCAGGTTAAGTTTAGAAGGCTAAGTAAGTAAGTTTGTTACTGACTACTGTCAGCTTTTTCTAAAGCCAGGATTGTTCATTAAAAGTTCAACGATAAAGGATCAGTTATGAACCATTAAAAAAACTAATGACTTTCCAGGATCGAACAAGCGACCTTTAGACTGTCAGGCAAGCACTAAAACCACTTTGCTGCTCATCTGTATCTTAAACAAGGGATTGGATGGTTAGATATATGTTAGTGTGGTGCATTTTTAATAGGCTACAAAGTCGTTTGGAAGAGCTGGAGCCTTAGTATTTACTATGGGGTCATAAAGTAATGTTAACGATATTAAATGGTGTTTAAAGATTTTGTTATGAATAGTAAATTTAGTTTAAAATAACTATTAGCATTTACCAAAGCTACTTTTAATTTAAGTAGTTTTCATTATTAGGCTACAATGTATTCTGTATATATTTTGGCTTAAAAATAACTTTTTTTAAGGGTAAACTAAAAAATTTCTTTCCTGAACTAGGCTACTTTATCTGATTAATTGTGTGTGAACCATACCACCGGTATTAAACGAGGTCAGCAGGTAGGCAGGTTACCTACCTCAGTAAGGTCAAGTTACCTGAGGCAAGTAACCTGCCTGCCTGCTGGCTTGGTGTAGACACAACTTAAGCTTAGCTGACATTACAATATTAGAAGCCATGGGAATAAGCAAAGGCAAAATTTCTTAAAAGACATTTAAACTTTTTAGAGGAATCTGAAAACATACACTACTAGGATTTAAACACAATGGGTTTTTTTTAAGCGTGTTAGCATTAGGGGAACTTCCCCCGCAAAATCCAAGCAGCTTGGGTTATGAAGGTGAGAATGCTTGAACTCACCTTCTCGGCAGCTTCTGGGTTGTCGGGGTTCTTGTCTGGATGGTATTTGAGAGCAAGTTTCCTATACGTCTTCTTGATATCATCAGCAGTGGCGGTCTTTGGTAAACCAAGGGTAAGGTAAAGGGAGTCTCCTGAAGTGCTGAAACAGACAATTCAATTGATACTTCAACTCTAAATTCTTTAACTCCGCATACTTGAGTGTGTATTTTAGGCTGAAGATGAACGCAGGGTGGTTGTTGTATGGGGGAATTGACCTTGGAAGGGTTGTAACTAAGATCAACTGATTATTTAGCACAATGATTAGGAACAGTAGGGTTACATCCGTTACCTAGGGTAAGTAGGCTGCTACATTTGTTAACAAAATAAAACAAGAAACTGGCCCTTTAGGAGTTACATCTTAAGAAACACGCAAATACTGACCAGTGGCGGATCTAGAACAGTCCTAAGGGGGGGCAAACCAGGGGGTCGGGGGGTACTCCCCTGAAAAACGTGTGTAAACTAAGTCTCCAAAATGGCAGTTTTATACCTTGGATATGTTTTCACTTCATTGATTTTCTTTTTGATCTGACTGTTATATTTTTCTAAACTACTGTGTTTTGTTTTACCACATGTTAAATATTTTGTATTGAATTAATTTAATTGTCTGAAGATTCAGTTAAGACTTTGTAGTCCACTGTCAAATGTACACCCGTGTGCTCTTTGATGAGGCTGGTGTGGGAGTAGTCTTAATCTCTTCGTTTGACCTTGGAGAAATACAATTTCGATGGTGGCACTCTTGAAAATGGTGCGTTTGAACGCTGTGGGTAAAAAACAAAATGGCCGCCATTTAAATGTTTAAAGTCAAATTCTATGAAAACCCGCTATTAAAAAAAATTTTTGTAACACATTACTTAAAGTCCTTTTTATTACAAATAGAATGACACTTTATTTGCAAAAATCGGATAATAAATAAGAAAGTTATGTTACTTTTATTATTAATAGTAATTATCAAAATGGCAGTCATTTTGAAATCACAAAGTTAAATTCCATAGAAACTAGTGACAAAAACATAATAAAAGTTACATAACTTTTTTATTTATTATCAGATTTTCGCAAATAAAGTGTCGTTCGATTTGTAATAAAAAGGAATTTACAATACTGTGTTTCAAAATTTTGTTTTAATTGCTGGTTTTCATGGAATTTGACTTTAAAAAATTTTAATGGCCGCCATTTTGAAATTCGATGAGCCTGATCAACGATTTTTTCGGAGAATGTTTATAGTTGTAGACTGAAAGATTATACCAAGTTTCATAAAAATATCTCCAAGAGTTTTTGAGTTATGAATTATTTTCAAAAAATACAAAATGGCGGATTACGGCTAAACTAAGCCGAAATCAAAAAAATGTTATAGGCTACTAAATTTTCGACTTATTTTTGCACATAGAATCTGGATCTGCATAGCCCGTTACGCTTTACTGAAACACTCTTTATTTCTTTTTGAAATATTTAACTGTCTTGGGACCTTACTTCCACCCTGATTAATTTATTTATGAAAAATATAAAATTATGTTTTATGAAAGAATGGTGTATCCTACATAAAAACTGTAATCATCTTTTTTGTGCAGATTTAAAATAGCTACATTTTGGTATATAAGTAAGAAAAGAAGTTTGCGACGGCGGCCATTTTGTTTTTTCCTACAGCGTTCAAACGCACCATTTTCAAGAGTGCCACCATCGAAATTGTATTCCTCCAAGGTCAAACGAAGAGATTAACACTACTCCCACACCTGCCTCATTAAGGAGCACACGGGAGCCTGTATATGTACATTTGACAGGGGACTATTGGAATAAATAAAGAAGCCTACTAATCTGTTTGTGAAATAATTATTTTATCATTTCTGGTAATTATTTCAAGATTCAAAACAATATATAATGTATGCCTGAGGGGAGGGCGGTCGTCCCCTTTCCCCCCCCCCCCCCCCCACCATCTGGATCCGCCACTGATACTGACAAGGCCCCGGTCCAACTTATCCTTGAGGACGCGTTTGCTTGTTAAAGGTGTTTATCATCAGAGGATTGATCACACCTTCTTATTCTGATCTTTTTTAGGCTACTTGAATAGGCATTTTACAAGCATATTATATTAATTTAGAAGCAACCGATTGATTTTGTACTGGAGTCTCCATTTCACCAATCTGAGCTAAATTTAACTTATTGTGTCTTTGACGAAATTTAGGCCAAGGCTATAAGAAACTTTTGAAGGAACCTAAATTGTTAAGCGAGTTAGGGGCTCGGATATGATTCATATTTTGAAATGACTGAGGTTTTGCATCCCTTCAAATAATTTATTAGTATTTCCAGGCCCATTGACATAAAATTTATTACCGGTACGGTAATTGTGATAAATTAAGCTTGTATAATAGCTTAATGAGTTACCACGATGCGTAATTTGTGAGACTTAAGTTACAATAATCAGGCTATTCATATCACAAACATTCTCACTATCGGTAGCTTAAGTTAATGCCTTTTTAGATGGATCTTCCCCAATCAATTCTACCATCTGAGGGTAAATCATCAGTTGCATAGCAAACGAATATCGAGACAAGATTTGAACCTCCAATCAACAGTAGCCTAACCTAGTTCCAGACAAATCGCCTAAAAGGTTCTTGATTACACCCGACACACCCTTGAACATACATAAAAATTACTTACGGTATTGTTGCTGTCGTTGTTAATGTCATTTATTTGTTATTTGTTATATCTATTTCTTACTAATTATTTAAATATTTTCATGTATACCTGATAGCTTGCTAGTAAATTTATTTTGTGGTAGGGGCCTATGTCAATTATTAACTAGCCATAGTGTTGTTGTTGTTGTTGCTATCGTTTGTTATTGCTACTTATTTATTTGCTTGTTATGTCACCACATGTAGCACTCGGTATTCATTAATTTTTGAAGTATGTGAATAGTACCTAGCCCCATCTTTAGTTGTATTGTTATGTATAATGGTTTTGCCGTTAGAATGAAATAAATAAATAAATATGCTTGGCCATGCATCAGACCAATATTGATTTTCTTTAATTTTGAATACTCCATGAGGGAAATTCTAACAGAGTTGGCAAACCTTCAAGTTAGCCTACATTAACAGAATGATAATTTTATTTGTTTCTTATCCGAGGACTTAGCTGTTTATCGTAAGACCTCATCCTTAGATGACCACTATATACCGTAACTTACTCTGTTTTTTTCAAATAACTTAATTGTCTGGATCTATCAGTAGGCTTGTATACAGTATTGATATTTTTTATTTAAATAGTAAATAGGCCTAGGCCTATATGATGATTTGTGGTAAAACTTATTGAGCATGGAGTTTCGAGTGTTCATACCAGATCTTCCAGTACCGTACAATTTTTATAAAATACCTGAAGTTAGCATCCTTTATATGAACATAAGATCTTTTATCATGAATACCAGACCAGGCTTACTTTTTTACCCAATCCTACTTTAAATAACCTAGGCATAGTTGGAAGAGTTCATTAAACCAATATTATGGATAGACTTCCGTATCTGTTGTCAAAACCGATGAAAATATCGATCAATAACTTATATTGAATGAAATTTTTTCAAAAATAAACTTATCACACTTTTTAAATAAGCTCTACTTATATTTCGGCATAAGCCTTTGGAAAATGATTTAGCCATTTGGCAATATTATGAAGAAACAATTATATTGAATGAAACAATTGAATAATCAATATTTTCATTCGGTTGTTTTTGACAACAGATAGGCCTACGGAGGTTTAAGTACGGTACCTACCCAATATTATTTACTGAGCGAGGGTCTTAATGTCACTCATTTAACTGAAACCCAGGAATGATCTACGACTAAGCTGTTCCAAATAAAATTCTAGAAGAGCAACTTGAAATACAATTAGGCCTAGTCTGCAGGCTGGGACAGGGAAAATTTTTTGATTGGACATCTAACTTAAATTGATCAAAACTAAGTTGAAAACTAACATGAACATTTATTGGTGGTTAGGAACACGATAACTCCAAAGGGCGATACTTTGGATGACATCGATAACGAGTAGTATTAGCCTACTTAACTAACTTAAACATTGGATGAGGTAAAAACAAAACAATAGGCATACTAGTTGAACAATTGTAAGTTAAATTAGCCCTATCTTAGATTCAAGGGGGCTAAGGCCTACAATATATAAGTTAGGTACTAGGCCTACGGTAAAACAAACCCTGAATTTACCTAATTTCTAATAGATGGCCTATAAAGTAGGAAAAAATTATTTCATTGGTAAACTTACTCATAGAGGTTATTATTCACTTTCCCCAACTCACCTAAAACATCCTATAAGATGTTTTTAATCTGTTCCTAGACACCAACAATACCTACAACTTTTTCAAATAACTTATTTGTCAGCGAAACTTCCTGTAGACACCATGCCTAGATTACTAGACACCACCCCTGAAAAACTTGCTTAAACATCGTGACATGGCAGTTTACTGTACTAGACACATATCAAGATTACTAGACACCACACCCAGATTACGGTTAAGTTAGGTTAGGTAAGTTTAGGTTTATCTAAGTTAGGTAATGGTGTCTAGTAATGGTAACTTAATGGTGTCTAGTATTCTGGGTCTAGTAACTTATAGGAAACTGTGCTGTCACGATGTTTAAGCGAGTTTTTCAGGGGTTGTGTCTAAGTAATCTAGGCGTGGTGTCTACAGGAAGCCTCGGCGACAAAAAAGTCATTTAAGAAAGTGTAGTGTTTTGTGTGTAGAAATAACTTAGTTTAATAACGTCTACGTTTTAGGTGAGTTGGGGAAAGAGAAAAAATTTAAGACTTGCTGGACATTGTTTAGAACAGACAAAGATAAACATCAAATTCCATTGAATAAAAGCACACATTTCGTAACTTAACTGCAAATTACATTTTTATACATACCTTAGGCCTAGTTGAAATTTTGTTGTGAAACTTGCAAGTTACAAGGGTAGGATATTTTAATTAATTGTGGGCGTTATTTAGAAATTATCCAGTAAAATGAAAATTTAAACAGGATTTGGTAGTAAAACATAGGCTACATTAATATAAATAAATTAACATTCTCAAGAAATATGAAAGGTCCTGGAGGTAGCATAGGCCTATCTATGGGGTGAATCATATTGCATGCATTGATCTTTATCCAATTAAAACTGCGGTACTAACTATGCATAAGAAGAATGAGACAAATAAATAGCCAAAACAGTTGTTTTAGTTTACCTAAACATATCAAAATCATGTAAATAATACTGCAAAATGTAACATTTATATTCGTTACATAAACGAATGCTAACAGAAGGTAATATAACATATTTTCTATATGCCAAGAAGAGAAAATACTTACGATAATTTTCTTTTCTCCATGTTACTAGATTTCCCAAAAAATGTCTTCTACAATTACAAATAAACTAGTTAATTGTATAAATACTAATCTCAATACCTCCACATTCTCAATTAAAACACAATAAATTAACAAATTTAAGAAAATACGGCAGGAAACACCATCGAGAATTCGATTATTTGACACAACCACTGCTAATGCCAAAAAAAGCTACCACAATTCCTCTGATATATCAGTAATACCACTACATTATGGATGGAAATAAAAATATTTATTTTAAATCATTGATTATTTACTTTATTATATTAACTTTGAGAGTTGACATTTTTCAAAGGTTAAATCTAAAAGTAATGCTTACAGCAAGAATCAGGAGTCACAATAACAATAACTCAAAATATTCATTTTAGATTACATGTTACAATCATGAAACCATATGAAACTATCAACAGTAAAGACAGTAATCATTATGACTTAAATTTTCAGTCTAAAAAAAAACCTGCAACTTGTATGAGATCCAAAGGATTGCCCAAGACAGACCCCCTTCCACCATAAACAGACCCCAATAACCAAATTATATATACAGTAGCATTGAGTATACTAAGTTTTTAGTAAGGTTATTAGCCCATTTGACGTTCAAGGTAAACTTGTAATTAATAGATGTGGTTTTATATATATTATTATTTTCTTTGATATGTAGTACTCAATCATATGTTCTCAAAATTCAACTATTTGTAAACAGTTCATATTTATTTGTTTTGTTCATTCTTAAACTTTTCATTCATTTCTCTTTGCTTGAAAAGGTTTGTATTAACGAAAATTTGCAATTTTTCATGATTCATTTTCAATTATCAATCAATTATCAATTATTTAAGATGGGGACGCCACTGTGTGCGTATTTTAACCCAAATATGAGTGAAGGATGAGTGTAGGATAAGTGGCGCGATCATGTAGTCTTGTTAGTGACTAAGGCCGACATGTTCCTTAGACACACAGCTGTTAATTAATAGCCCATACAGCTAATGGCAACTAAGGGACCTACAGTTTATAGTGGAGTCCGAACCACATTTTTTCCTTGTAATTTACGAATTGGTCTAATTATCAGGATAGTACTTGCGGATAGTCGTAGTACTCACTAGTGCGGACGTTAATCCACACCAGGGAGCATCGCATCCACAGAGAATCCCTATAAATATCCACAATTCGTCACATTTATCATGAACTATAAACTCTATCAAGATCTCTTCAAGAATATATATATATACAAATATATATTATATTTGATATTGTTCACGTGTGAACAATATCAAACTACTACTACTACTGTAATTAATGTTAATAAATAATACACCATAGTACCCTTTTTTAATTATTTTAAAATGATATAATTATATCTGTCGCTAAAAAATAATTTTTTAACAACTGTACTGTCAACAGTTATTTTATCAGCTGATTGGATGCGTGTACTGTTTCTCTAGGATAGGAACATGTGAGCGATCTGGGAGATTTTGCTTTTTGCTAGCTTTGCTGCTTTGCCATCACCTACCTACAAACTAGAGCAAACGAGCAAACAGCCAATTGTCAAATTAGTGTATGTAAACCTAACCTGAGAGTTACAAAATTGTTTCGTTTCGTTTGATTGTGAGTTGGCATAAGGTAAAGATTGATCAAGAGTAATTATTTACTTTCTTTTTTGTTTCCCCTTGAAATTTTAGTTGCACTCGAATGACTTCAATGTTGGTTATAAAAACGATGAAGTAGGCTAGAAACTAAGTTAGTCAACATCTTGTTGTTTGTAAACCTTTGTCAAAGGTCTGTCAAACACAACATAAACTGAATAAATTGTTTGTGTAGAAATGTAGACTTTAAAATTTTCCAATTAATCCTTAAAGTCTGTAATGATTATTTTTGTTATTGCAAAATAGCATAACTTAGGCTAAAATACATAAAACCATATGTTTAAAATCTTATTAGGAATTTTCAAATTGATATTTTTTTTTATAGCAAAAACAGGTACCGGCAACCTAACTTAAGTTAGTAGGTTAATTTTTACAATACATCAGTTTTATTGGTAGGTTCTATGAACTGTGAGGTAGGCTACCTACTTGAGAATAACATTGTCGAGGACCCTTGGAAAAATTGAAACCAAAATCAATATCCGACTCCAGGCATATTAATATAATCCATATTTTCTCGCCCCTGAGCTGGTTCTACAACTAAATTGAAATATTAGCTACGTCAGCCAGCTCCTGTATTGTTACCAATACAGCTACTTGCTTACCAATTTCAGCTACTTGCTCGAGTGTGGAAGTGTACGTTCCTCAACAGGCCTGTTTTTTAAAACCCTGTTTTGACTATGTGTGTGTTTCGTGTAAGGTTTTTGTGTTATAACGACGCCTTTTGGCTGAATAGCCTGATGATGGTAGACCTACAGTGATGCTGAAACGGCCGTAACATTGGTAACAATACAGGAGCTGGCTGATGAAGGTAATATTTCAATTTTGCCCGTAGTTAACTTATCGATCACAAAAGTATTGATTCAATCAATAACCAAACTTATCATAACCTAAACAAAAATTGTTAGCCTATAACTTATCAATCAAATTGTAGTTGGATATCAAAGTTTTGCTAAAGTACCTAATGAGCTTTCAATTATGATTTTTGAAGCAATCATTTAGTAAAGAAAAACCTTCAAAATTTCAAACAAGGTACCTTTTGGACAACTTTACCTTCTTCTAAACTCATGAAAAAAGAGGACACAAATATGAATTGACATACCTGTGTTTGTAAATTTAAGTTAGCCTACACAACACGTCAACTTTTTTTTTTCATAAATCCTACCTTGTTCATTATTATTATAAAATAAACTAATCCAAATTTTTATCCATATTTTTGTAGCCTACTCTTCAACACCATTGGCCATAACTTATTTCTTTACCTAAGAGATGAGTCCAAACCCTTATATTGTTGGTAATTCCCATGGACTAGTAACATTGCCGATGGTCATTGAGCGGTAGCCTAACGACAATAGTCATCTTGGCTCAGAATTGGCCCTGCTTGGAGTCAAAATAGGAACCTAATACCTTGTTTTAAAAAATTTCCACAGAACTGAACTGTTCACTGTTACAGGTTTCTCCGAATAGGCTGTTTATAATGTAGAATCATAAATCAGATCCAGTCGAGATGCTACACAACGCAAGAATGCAGCCCAAGACGTCAAGGATCGTCGGGCTGTGTTCCATTGCCAACTTTATAAACGCAGCAGACAGAGTGATCATGCCGATTGCCATTGTTCCAATGACCGACCAATTCAAATGGAGCCTTCACTGGCAAGGGTGGATATTGTCTGCCTTTGCTTTCGGCTATTTTACAAGTCAGGTAGGCTAATGTGTATTTAGATCTCTTTTTGGTATTCATAGTTTGTCTACATTTAAGCTACAGCTTAAGAATGTGATTTAACAAGTTAATTGGTTATACCGCTAAAACAAACAAAAAACTTGCAAAAAGGTTGGTGGTTTTATGAAAAGATAAAAACTACACATTCAATAAAACTCTTTGATGGTGGTGCAACAAAATGAGGCACATTTCCTATAGAGTTTAAATGCAGGTATAAACAGGCAGACTGGGCATATGCCCAGGGGCGCCCACCGGGTGCCCCTTAACCACCGCCTGCCCGCACTAGGAAAAAATGGGGGCACTGCTTTTGGGTTTGCCCAGGGCTCCACTGACCCTTAACGCGGTCCTGTTTAAATGGGTGAGTAACTTTCACCTGAACCACCTTTTAATCTTGTCAGAGTCCAAGCCATACTGTCCGGTGTAAATGGGAGACTACACATTTTGTATATACAACTGTAGTAAATGAACTTATAAAGCTAGGTCAAATCAGCAGTCTTTGTTAAACCTTAAACTTAACCTAAAGGCAAATAAAACAGGAATCTTCATGAGAACTAAAATTAAACGTTTGTCAGTTGACCTAGCCTCATATTGAGCTACTAAATTAAACGTGTTCTTCCCTATACGTTTACATTTAGGCACAGTACACTATTGATAATCCGAACCCTCAGGTTATCCGAAGTCATTTTAGTCCATTATAATAGGCTATATATTTTTTATTTTCCAACAGTAATCAATAGCCTATCAAGCTACTTTATTAAAGTGTGTTTCTGCTATAGCTAAAGCGAAAGTAGCAAAGCAATTTGTGATTTATTAAAATGAAAACAGTAGAACTCCGGTTAACCGAAATAAAGGGAGAGAGCTGTTTTGGATAACCTATTTTTCGGTTAAAACCCGTCATATGCTAAATATAGGGGTATTACCACGGTGAGTTGGAAAAAATAAAGGTAAAACAATGTCTATAAAACAGTCTTTTATTTCAGCTAGACAGAAATGTTACAATGGGTTAGAAAATATTTTAAACTAAACAAATGAAATTATTAAAGCATTTTACTTGACATATTACTTATATTTTAGCCCTGTACTATTTTATGGAACCGTTTCGGTTAACTGGGGTTCTACTGTACTTGGAATAACCATTACCATAGCCTACTATAATTTTAATGTAAGAATGACCAGAGATTTGGAGGTATTCTTGGCCCCAACCCCAACAACCTCGGTTAATCAGGAGTGCACTGTATATACATCAACTAGGCCTCTTCATCTTATATTTTTATTAGTTCTTCTTTCCCTTCCCCTGCCTGTTCATGAGAAACATTTACTTTCAATATAAAAAAAATTGTATTTAACAAGGAAATCTCAACGTCATTTCCTATACATAGCTGTAGTAGAGTCATAGGCCTAAATCTAATGTAATCTAACCTAGTATTCTCATTTAAAGGTGATAGGAGCCTGTGCTGCGAGCAGGTTTGGAGGAAAAACCGTTCTTCTCTTCGCAGTATTCCTATGGTCAGTCTCCACCTCGGTTACTCCATTGCTAGCCACATCCATACCTTCGTTGATATTCTGCCGAGTGTTACTAGGACTTGGCGAGGGCCTCGGTAGGTTTGCTTCTCTAATTGTACGGTTCTATCATTGAGTTTTAGACACATCTCATTTATAAACTAGCTGAAGCCAATTTTTGATTCAAATAAATAGTTGAAGGGGCCCTCTCTTAGTGTGCTACTGTCATAACTCTATTTCCTCCAAGTTTTCAATACGTTTGTAAATGATGAGGCATAAAAGATACTAAAGTTGTA